CATACATACATACATACATACATACATACATACATACATACATACATGGCTCAAGCTGTGAGCGGTTCAAGGTGGCCCCCGTTCATAAAGCCCACCTGGTGCGGACAGCCCCTTTCACCACGTTTGCTCGGTGAATAACCTGACAGACACCGCCACAGCCTTCTCCCTCGGCCAGCGTCCTTTGCCCGTGATTCACGACCTCGAGCACGACGCTTCGGCAGAGACCTTCGGCACCTGGCATTTGCTCGCCTGGCTACAACCTCCAGACCCTGCATTGCACTGGTGCTTCAACTCTGCATTTGCGAAAGGCCAGATCTTGACCGGGGATCAGCTCCTTGCCTACCAAGTGCAGAATCACCAGGAGTTTGCCGTTCTCCATCGCCTGCACTATGACGACTAGCACCCCCACTTCATGGAGCAGAGCTTATGTGGTGTGCCACAACTGCTCAAATTGGATATGGCAGGACAAACTACGCCCCGACACCCGATGCCGCAAATGTGGCAACTGGTGGCCTTCAGTACGTGCAGGAATCGGCAAAGGCAAAGGTCAGGGCAGACCTCAACGAGCACAAGACAGCTGGCGTTCCAGCTCCAAGGACCTGCTTGACAGGCCACCGGGGCTCCAGAAGCTCAAGCCGCTCAAGAAGACCATGCCCACGCAGGCTGCCAATGAGATCTTAGCCAGCACATGGGAAGCCATCCCTGCTGAAGCTCAGACCAAGCTCCAAACCCTGGGCTTTGGACCGCCCCCGCAAGAGGAGCCAGGACTTGAGGCCGTCTTGCAAACCCATCTCAAGGAGCTTCCACAAGCAGTCCAAGATGTGGTCAACAAAATGCACCAGCCCATCCCGGACACCGAGAAAGCCCTGGCACAGAAGCTAAAGACCCAGGTCACTGAGCTTAAAACCATCTCCATGAAGAAAGCACAGCTCCAAGGCCGACTGGATTAGGTCAAAAGCCAATATGCCAGCATGCTACAAGAGATGCAAGAACATCAGACCAAGCTCACAGAAGGACAACAAAAGCTCAAGACCTTGTCCGAGCAGTACATGCAAAGCGGTCAACAAGACACCACCACCAACAGATCTTGAGGTGACCGATCCAGAGCTTCCCATCCCCATGGCAGTTGAGACTTTTGTCACCAGTTTGGGCATCAGCTTGACTGCTGAACAGCGCAGTCAGCTCCACGGCTTACTTAAGAGGCCAGGAAGTGATGTCGATGACCCCAGCAAGCGCCGGAAAACTGATGCACCCAGTCTGCCAGCAGGAGGGGAGTGTGGGTAACAGGACTCACCATGGCCACCAGGACTTCCCAGGTTTTGAGGTGTCCATACCATGGGAAGCAGTTGATTGGACACCATCACATGGGGATTGCCGCGCTGCCTCAAACTCAGCGCAAGGGGTCAAGCAGGTGACACGTGCAGGGGACGAGTCACATACACACCTGAAACCTTTTCAACAGCTACCACCTTTTGGGGAATGCTCCACCAAGAGTGACAGGGGAACAACTCTTGAACGCATGGAGACAAATACTACAGACCCACACAGGTCTGACAATTTTGTTGCAGCACCTTCTCTGACCCTGACGCATGGGTTGCCGCTGGGTGCACCTGGACCAGAAGTGGTCTGCATCCAAGGAGGACGAAAGCCCAACAGCCAGGTGAAAACCAAGGCCAAGCACAAGGGCAAGATGGAACCGGCTTATGCCACTACCACGGAAGTCATCCTTCAGAACCTCACGATGACTGTGGGCAACCCTAGCAGCCGATGCTATGCCAATGCCCCATGGAGAGCATTCGCCTGGACATGCGGCTTGCTCCAGGAAACCAACACCCAGCCCTGGGGAAACCTCAAAGAGGCGGTCCAGGAGTCCTTAGAGATGGCGGAAGCAGTGGACATTCAGCAGCTTCCCGGCCTGAAACCTATGTGGAGGAAACATGACCTCAACATTGAGGGTGATGCCAACCACTTTGTCAACACGCTCTGGAATGTCTCCCAAACAAGAGCTTTCCACTACAGATTTGCAGAAATCCAGCCAGGAGGATACTTAATCGATCACATCCAGCAACCCATCCTGGTCCCTTTTCCTGATGACGGGCCAGAGGTCACCACTCTCCAAGACCTTTTCAACGGATGGGCGAACACAGGACTAGGTCAATACTTGATGGACGACAAACCAGTATTAGTCAGCCACATCACCAGAAACACTACGATCAATGGCACACCCACAAAACACAGCAAACTGGTGAACACCTATGGCAGCTTCACCGTTCCCAGATCCCTGGATGGCTTTGCCAGAGCATCCACAGAGTTTGTGCCGGCAGCACTGATATGCCATCAAGGGAAGAGTCACAACACCGGACACTACTTTGCTATCCTCATCTATCGGGATCTGATGTGGATAGCTGACGATGGCAAACCGCCAATGCACTTGGAGCACTTGACACCACAGCTGGCCAGCCAAGTCACGCAGGTATGGGCAGTGCACATTGACACTTTCAAGACTCCCCAACAGGTCCTCAGATCTCTGCCACCACCTGCAGAGCCAGACTTCGACCCACCACTCCACCCCAGCCCGGAGAAGAAGGCCAGAGTGGAGCAACCTCACAACAATTTGCATTTTGCAAATGTGACTCACTTTGGGAGACGGGTACTGGACTGGTACTGGTCAAGGCAAAGCGAGGTGTACGTGTTGGTTGAAACGCATCTTGATCCACAGCAGCATCAACAGACCTGCCAATATTTCACCATAAGAGGCAGAACTGCCTTTGGCACACCAGCCCACCCGAATGAAAGCAAGACAGGCACGCATGGAGGCATCATGGTGCTTGCAGACCCTACGTGTGGGCTCACTCCTTTGGAATCCTACACGACCCAAGGCTGCGGCTTTCAAGCATTTCTCTGGCAAGCAACAGAGTGCACCATCCTTGTGGCAGGCGCCTACATGAAGACAGGTGAAACGCTGCAAAGCGATGTCAATGCCACCATACTCGCCCGCCTCTTGGCACTGGTTCAGGCCACCAACCACCCCTTTGTCCTCTTGGGGGATTGGCAAAACAGCCCTGGCAGCATAACCAGCACGGTGTTGCCCTCCAAATTTCATTTTGAGGTCCTCTCGCCAGACGCCAGCCTCTTGTCCGGCAATGTCATTGACTATGCCCTGATCCACAACCAGCTGGCCAGCACCACATCCCTCACTACTGAATGGGCTGTTCCTTGGAGGCCTCATGCACTCATCTCGTACCACTTCAACATCGAAGAGGCCACCAAAGAATACCGGCAAATCCAGTACTTCCCACCGCTCCCGGCCACACCGGACATCGACTTCCGGCCATGGACCACCTACAAATCCACGGCCTATGAGTTGGACCTGTATGGCAACCCAGTCAACGATACGGCGCAAGCATGGGCGGACTGGCTGTCTCGCACCGAACAATACCTACTACAAGAACACCCTTGGGCTGCGCAAGGGAGAGGGTCCAACCTCAGGGCTAGTCACAAGCCTTTGGCGCCAATCACCACCATCACCACGTGGAAAAGAGGCCGACCAGCTTACTGGGAACAACTACGGGCCAGGTTCAAGCTAGCACTCCAACAGCCTCCCCAGCAGGTTCGAGGACCCACCAAGGGCTTCATGCAAGCAATTGCTGATGCACCCCAACACTGGGTTGGCACGCCGACATGGGGCCAGTTCCTCGACACCTGTTACCACTGGCACAAATACAAAGACAGTCATGCCGCCAACTTGGTCAACCACACCATTGACCATCAACTTCAATTAGCGCAACAAGCGGCAAACGATGAGAGTCACCTCCAATACAAAGCCTGGCTGACCCAAGGTGTAGCCAAAGGCCTTAAAGGGCTCTTCCGCAGTCTTCGCAGTAGTGAACTGGCCTGGGAACGGCCCTACAGGACACTGCCACCCGATGAACGTATGACCCAAAGGCTCACAGATTGGGGGCAGCTCTGGCAAATCAACCAGGATGACCGGCCACCAGC